GTTGGCAATGGTATAGCATGATAGACTACTTGTTTCTCACCTCTCGTCTCTTTCCTAATGTTATTGGGGGTTTCGCACGACGGTCAATGTGGATGTGAAATCTGGAGCATATTTGGTAGCATAATCGAGCAAGCATTGCATGTATGCTTGTACACAATGAATCCGATCTGTCGATCATGTTCAAATGCTTTCTAGTCTGCAGTCTTACATCCATGGTTCGCGTCGTGCTTTCTGAGATCATGAATAAGTGTCGATCCGTCAAATGTCTTACGCGCACATCCCCATCCACACTCAACAAGCGTCCGGCCACAAGCGCCATCCGTCCCTCGCACACACCCACACTCACACACCTCCATACCCGCGCCACAATCATCCCACCACCCCGAACAAGCTCACTCCACTCCACTATATCCGGCTCACATCCCCGAACCCAGATCTCGGCCTGCCTAACTAATATCGCAACGTCGCTCTTCAGATTCCACACCTGGGTGGTGTGGAGTGTAATACAAGTCTAATCTATGCGGGTCGCCGGATCGGGAAATGCGTCAATCTAGTTAGGGCGACGGAGATGGACCTGCAATTTCGTGGGTACGGATCTGGTTGAGGGCTTACTGCTACGATGCTGGAAACGGTCCGACGGTATAGTGGGGAGTGTGGGAGTGGGATTATAGGGCCGGGGGAGAGGGGCACTAGTTGTGGGAGGAGCTATTTGCGGAGTGCGGAGTGCGGAGTGCGATGCTGATGGGCAAGGGTTAGCCGTCCGTAAGCGCAACGGTGATGTAGTAGAGTGATTCGGGGATGTGTGTGTATGTATGGTATTGATGGGATATGGTGTGCGGTGGTTTCGGGTGTAGCGAGGCGGGTAAGGTGAGATGAGGTGATGTGTGCGTCTTCCGAACGCTCACATGTCGGATCTTTTCACGGGAGCAGGGTGTTTGATTTGTACAAATCAGAGAGCTTCTGAAAGAATCCTGGAGCAAGAACACTCCCCTTTGCGAACAAGCGGCCCTTGCCTAGCTTACCCAGCAAGGACAGTATCCCATTATCTTAATCAACGGGTAACTTAAGTTCGATTTACTCTATAATGTGACTTGGGGGCTTGGTCGTATAGAAATCCAAACAAGTTCAATGATGATAGCTCTTCGCGCACATTTGAACAAGCTCCCTTGCTCCATGCTCGAACAGTATAATTCAATTCATACCAGAACCCACGCAGATCAACTGTATATATGAACCATGGGAAACATACACATCAGCCTCTTATCCCCAACCAGCTGCCATGAATCCCGGAGTAGGAGTACAGATACTACAATTGCTCTGCTTCGTAGGAGTGCTTCGTCGACTAAACACCACGTAGATGGGATCTTATCTAAACGACTACAGCACTTCAAGAATCGCAGTACGCTATCTGTACCCCCGTTCTGGGAGCCATGTGATACCTCACTTCATTGTCAGCTAGTAACTAGGATCCCTCTGATTAGGTGAGGATATTGACTATTCGTCAAGTCTTCTTTCGTAACTAGTTGTGTAGCCAGCAAGGAGGCGATCTCTGATCAGTATTGGTACGAGTTCAAAGTTCAAATTTGGCGCGACAACTCATGATTTAATATACCCAATCTTTACGCGATTGCTGAATCACAATATAAGAAACCAAGGTTTCAGTCATTTATGAAGATAATAATAAGAAATCATTCAGCTTGAAGGGCTAAAGACTGACAATGACAGCTGTCTGCTTCTGTGGTAAAAATTGGTATCAGACATTAGTTAGAGACTAGAGAGACTATTGAGAACCTATGGTACTATCACGTTAATAGTCTAGAATAAGAGCATAAGTCATGTGGTGCTTACGCTTTGCTCATGCCCTTCACGAGGGGAGCTTGGTGATGGCTGTTCATCATTATCGTCGACTGCTGAGCTTTCTGCTGTATTTGGCGGATATGGATTCATGTGCAGCTCTACATTAATTGAGATTGCTCAACTCTTAATACAGTCGCACACCCGCAGAGCCACTATAACCGCGGCATCCTTCGGACGATCCTATTCACTTATGCCTACCGACAAACATCTCGTCGACCGTGAGCTGCAGCTCACGTTGTTGTCAAGTCTCACTATTATCGTCTTCATGCAACGATGCTAGCAAGAGGGTTGAAGTGATAACTTGGGGCTGGGAGGTAGGATGAGCGAGGCAGTACGGCTGAACGTCGGTCTCATTATATGTAGCGTCTTAGCGCAGTGCACACATGGGGTTTGGCATGTCGTCCCATGTATCTATCCGCTGCTGCTGTACGCTCCGTTTCAACACGCTTTGTGGATACTTGCCAGGACAGGCACGCGGTATTTTGCCGTCAAACGGCGACATTCCGATGCTGGACCCGTTCGCACCGCCACCATGGGTACGCGACGCGGTCGAACCTTTGACCCTCAAACTCCACCTCTTCACCCTGACGTTGCACCTCCATGAGGTGCTCTTTAGCTATGCCACCTACGTCGTTATCAACTCTGTACTGGCACCCTACGTCTCGGCGCGGTTGTTGCCCGTAACGTACGCCCAGTTCCCGCCGCGCACGAAGCTGCAGTGGAACCTTCACATCACCTCCTTCGTCAACGCAACCTTCTTGTCCATTGCCATTCCATATGTCCTCTATGCCGACAAGGACCGCCTCAATGCCACGTGGGAGGAGAGGTTATGGGGCTACACTGGCGCCAGCGGCCTGGTGCAGGCCTTGAGTGCCGGCTACTTCATGTGGGACGTTCAAGTCTGCTTTGCAAACGTCGCCAGCCTAGACGTGCTCGACCTTCTCCATGCTGTTGTCGGTTTGTGCGTGTCAGTTTTGGGATTTGTATGTGAATGGAAATGTAACTTGCCAACTCGTTCCGGCACTAACAGGCACGTGTAGCGCCCTTTTGGGCTGTATTATGGCATCCAATATGGGCTGGTCGAACTCTCCACTCCCTTTGTCAACATCCACTGGTTCCTCAATAAGACAGGTCACGCTGGATCAAAGATACAGGTCGTCAACGGCGTCGTCCTCGTCGTCACGTTTGCGTGCTGTCGTTTGCTATGGGGCTCCTACATGACGTTTACTTTCTTCTCTGACGTGTGGACTGCCCTCCACGCATCAAAGCCTTCTTGGACCGAGTACAACTATGCGCCCGGAGAGCGGCCACTGATGCTTCAACATAAGGCCGTATGGTGGGTCGGCGCTACTTTCATGCTCACCCACACTGTTGTCATGGCCTTGAGCACCTTTTGGTTCGCAAAGATGATTGCCACTATGCGCAAGCATATTACCTCCATCGCGGGAGAGAAGAAGACGGTGTAGGGCGCATGGATTTTGTCGTCCTCACTAAGGCTGAAATGAGGTCAATTGTGTCCAGCGAGCCTCGAGCCCGGTCTCGATCTGTACGAGCGATACCTCTACTTCAGATATAATGGCAGCAGTCTGGTAGGGAAGAAGTGTCTATTGTATTGGACTTTAAGCTCTCATCTTTTTTGCAATAAGTCTTACAAGGATATTGTAGAAGTCTCTTCGTGTGTCGACATCAATCGGGCCTCAGAGATCCTCATACTACGTGTCCATGCCCTTGCGCTATGGGATACCTCTGATGGCCAAAATGTCACTCTTGCATTGGACGCTCTCTCAAGGCCTTTTCGTCGTACCATTGGAAACGCCCAACAATGACGGTACCGTTGATACCTCTAGCTGTATTTCATACCTCGGATTCAGCCTATTGCCACTCTTCACAGGTAGGTACACACCTCACGTGCTTGTAATCTCAGCTGTTGGAGGACCTCGCTGACAATGCGCTGGTCTAGCTGGAAATATCGTTTTGGTTATGGTTATAGCAATTGTACTCGGTAGCCTCCATCATTATCCTAGCGGAATGCCAATGGGGGCGACTTACTCTGCCGTTGTGTCCGCGGCTTGCCACCAGCCCCTGCCTGATGATCAAGACGCTTACAAGTTCCCGGTCTAGTGGGGTACGTTCTCACACCCTCAACGGGATCTGGATATGGGAACGCCAATGGAGGATATAAATCACCGCGGGACTGCAGGATCACCTCCAACTTTGACAGATGTAGACTGTGATAGAAGTGAGTGACTGTATAGAGCTGGAGCCTCCAGAGCAGCAAAGTCTCACGGGGTCTGCACTTCTACCAGCCCAGAATGCACCGCGCATAGAGCCGGGACATCGCTGTTTCACCACCGCCAGAGACGTAGACCGGCCGAGGGCGGGTTACTTTTATTCTTGAAGATAGAGGTGCCACGAATCGTAGAATTCAATGTCATTCCATCCCATTCATCATGGAAAGCTCTTTCATTTGATAATAGCGCGTTAGATAATTTTAGATCACAACGAAGTAACGAGCAATCATCAGCAACTACACGTCCTTTGCCTGTAGATGTGTCATGTCCGCCGGATTCATCTACCCGCTCAATGACATCCCTTGGGTTGATACAAATATTGTTTGCAAAGGTGACATGTGTAAAATCTCCGAGTCGAAGCCTTTACAAGACGAGACAGAGATCGAGAAGAGCTGCGAGAGGCTACTTATAATAAAACATATGGTAATATGCGCGATGTCTGAAAGGTAGGATAGACGTTTCCATGCGAGAATAGCAGTACTGTGCGAGTAAGGTCAGGCAGCCTACAGCCTACAGCCTACTGGCTGTGAGATCTCCATCGGAGATACTCAAAGAGGAGAACACCGTCGTACTTCTACTTTGTAAGAGCGACATCTGGATAACTGTTCGTAAATCGACATTAATGTATTGATAACTCGAAGAGCTGGTGCGCGAGTACAGCAGGGCTGGAGTATTGACGGAAGGCAGGGATCAAAGAAGTTTGGGGGAGAGCTGATATGCAAGAACAACGGGCAAAAAACGGTCTGAGAATAGATAGAAACAAGGACAATGTGCGTAGACAAAAATGTCAAAAAGATAAGGTATGTACTCCCCGAGATGGGCCTATACATTGTTAGTTGGATGGTTTGATTTCTCCTAAGAGAAGAGTAACGTACTCGAACCATCGACCTCTCGATATCTTGAAGAAGAACCATTACAGCAATGCTGGTAACAGTCGAACGCTCTAGCCAACTGAGCTATCGGGGATCAACTTCTTTTGTATAGCAACCGATCAACTTTGTCAGTTTATCAACGTTGCAACTGTTGATGCCATCTTGCGTCGTGCGCTAGTGATCGGTAAACTTTCGAGACCCGCCGCCAAGCTAAGCATCAACGCCTTCAGACTTCCGCCAACACCCTCACAAGCAGCGCGCAATCGCGCCCACTCTTGCCTCCAAACTATCGAAAATGCCACCACCACGACTACTTTCCCCTATACTACGATCCCGCGCAAGACTCCCGGCGCAATGCCTTCGTACTGTACCCTCGATCCGACATGCATCAACCGAACAGCCCATATCCGCACCAACAGTTCCCTGGAAAACACCCCATAGCATAACTTCCTGGCCTCCGGAGCCTCTGATACCGGCTCCAAAGGATGGCGAGGTTTTGCTAGAACGGCGACCGAACAGAGATCTGCCACCGTACGCTCTATAACCCTTACTTCTCACTCTCCACCAATGCTAAAAGCTCCCACGCAGCATCCCACCGCTCATCCCCCGCGAAATAGCCCGCACACTCCCCCTCTTCGTCGTCGCAATGTTAGCCAGCTTATTCGCCTTCTTCAACTACCAGAAACAAGAATCCTCCGTCGTAACAAGCACCCTTTACGCTCTCCGCACCAACCCCTCCGTTCGCTCCGAGCTCGGCGACGAGATCTACTTCGCGTCAAAGTACCCGTGGATCAGGGGCGAGATAAACCAGGTACATGGCAGGATAGATATCTCATTCTGGGTCAAGGGGACGCGGAAGCAGGGCAAGGTCAGGTTGAAGTGTAAGAGAAGGGGCAGGGGAGGCTACTTTGTGACACAGGAGTGGAGTTTGACGATGGAGGATGGGAGCGTGTTCCAGCTTTACGATCCGGAGGGGAATGCGGTGGATCCTTTCCAGGACCCACTGGGTGAATAAGCGGAGTTTGGTGTGATGAGGAAACTGGACGGGCAGGGCAGGATCAAGGGCTGGGAATGTAAGATATCAGAGCATATTGCATTGCGGCGAGATGGTTTACTGTGCATACACAAAGCAAACTCCTACTTTTGGGAACTGCATTGGGAGGAACAAAGGCATATACATATGTATCAATACATGTACAATGAGTACAAACGCAAGGGACATCGTCCTGAAGTTATCTTTGGTATTTGCATTTGTCATGATAGTTGTTACTCATGGAGCCAAATCTCAACCCAACATGGAAAGAAAAGACTGATCTGAAGCATATTTAGGTATCGTACTCAACGGCATCCGTGTCCACTAATGAAGGAGTGGATACCTGTTTTCCATGTACGCCTGTCGCAGCCCTAATGTTGACCTGCTCGTAGGCGAGCCGTCGCGCAGTGCGTAAGAATGTCCAGAAAAAGGAAAGTGGTATCATGTAAAAATGCGGCCGTCTGCCTTCGCCTCCACATCACCCTCGCTGATCGCTTAGAACTTCAGGCTATCGTTCTCCTCAGCCCGTCTCTGACTCGGGTGGTGAGCTAGATTCGGCTTGACGAGGTGAGCGAACTGAGGGTTGACGTTGAGCGGTGCTGAGATCTCAAGAGGCATGCGTGGGATGGAGCTCTCGCGCTTCTTTCGTGGCCACCTCCTCGCTTCGCCAGATGTCGATCGTGAGTATGTCGATGAAGCTCTCGAGTGAAATGGGCGGAGTGGTGATGCGCTATGATAGGACGGCAGCACCGAATTGCGTGCGTTGCGGAACAAGCGAGCAGGGCTACTGAAGTTGAACTGCGAGAAGCGCCCTTCCTTCTGTGGGGAAGGCTCTGGCAACGGTGAGCCCATGTCGACTGGTGGTGTGCCCATACGCATTGCTGGCGTTCCGGTGCGAGAGGCGCTGGATCCTGTGTGATGTGTGTTGATGCTGAAGGCCTTTCCGCCAGTTTCCAGATCGCCGTTCTCGGACAGAGTGATGGCACCATGAGAACGAACGCGACGAGCAGTGATGTGGCGAGACTTATCGCGGAAGACATAGCTCTGTATGCTGATTAGCGTGATTCATCACAGAGTAAATTGTCGACTTACAACAACGACATTGAAGAAGCCAATGATGATAGCGAGGATACCAGATGCCACCAAGAGTCGCCAGAACGGAAGGCTCAACGACTGCTGGCTTGTTGCTTCCTTGTTCATATTCCCGAGCATGTTCAAGCCGAGAACCATCATGGCGCACCCCAAGGGAATGAAGCCATGACTCGGGCTGAGTAAGGGCCAGTTGCGAGCGAAATATCCGCGAAAGAGCGAGCACTCGGAAATGACGAGGAAGACTGGCAAACTGTTAGATTGACGGGCGTTTCAATGTGGCTGAAATGTTTCATCGCTTAAGGAGCACTTACGTCCAACTAGGGCGGTAACTACATGGCTTGTAGCGTCGAAGAAGAAGAACTATGAACTGGTCAACGTTATACCTGAAAGGCTAGGTCATCATTCATACCTTTGAGACTATGAATGTTTTGACGAGCATGACGACGCTGCTGGAGACAACGGCGAGAAGTGTGATGATGTTCATGGCGCGGACGACGTTGAGAATGATGTAGCCTGGACCGGCCAGATGTTCTGCTGAAAGGAGAGCCATCTCTAGATTTGCGAGATGGACGTAGAAATTCTGTGCTGAAGAAGCTGGTATAGGTTTAGGGATTATGCTGGCCGGCAGTCTTCAAGAGAGCGATTCGCTTCAAGCGAGAGTATAGACGAAGACGACGAAGAAAGGAGTTGTCGAGGAAGTAGAGGAAGAAGAGCTTACGCCGCGAGGCAGAAGAAGCCTTTCTTGCTCGACAACAATATCAATAGACGAGGAGACTGTACAATAGGAAGGAAAGTGAAGAAGCGGAGAGCAGACCGGAGGGTGAAGGTGAAATCTATTACAGCCCCACAGATACGGTGCAGCCTTACCCACTACTATTGTCGCGAACGTCACAATACCGAAAATAAGGCTCTTCGCGCTGCCCTTCTTGCACCACGCCAGATTGAATGGCCAAAATTGCACCACATGGGCGTGCGTCTGTACTACCAGATGGAGTGAAACGCGGGTGTACCCCCTCCATCAAGCCTAGCACTGTCGATACCGAGCTGCGTAGCGGGGAAGAGAGTGACTGGACCTGGTCTCTCGCCAGGTCTTCCTCGAAGTCCAATATCGAAGAAGCTCTAGGTCGGGCTCGCGAAAAGCTGAAGCAGGTCTGGTCGACGTGTGGCCGTCGCGTATCGATTGGCGAAGAGAGCTTCGACACGCTCGCGTAGCGACAGGGTTCTGTGTTTCAGAATCCTAAAACAGACGATGGCAAACCGATCGTCGGGCGGCAAGAATCGTCAACCCTTCAATCGTTGGCGGCAATCTCCCGCTGGACATCCGACGGAGGATTCGCAAGAGCCATCTTGGGCGATCCATCGGGTGTGCGAGTGGTGGTGTTGTGGGAAGAGAGCCTTGGGAGTGTGATCGTTGACCAACCTCTGCATCTTGAGCGTGAGTCAGCGATACACCGGCAGTTGAAGATCATATATTTGCAAGAATGATCTTTTCCTAGAATGGTGCTAAATATTCGTTGAGTCTGGCGGAGTTCTAACGAAGGGCATTATGAGTCTGAATGATCGATGCTTCGATATCTACTTGCTTTCTCAATCATATCAGGACGATAACGAACTCGTCCGAGTTCAAGGCAGCCCATAATTGTAAACCAAATACAGACTCAGTACTTCCAGAAACGCTTTGTGAATTGTCAGACTGCTACTATTCCCTGGGAAGGCAGAAAAACCGTATCACGTGATCGATCTCTCCTCAAGAGAACCATTCTTCTTTACAGAACTTGCGCCAGGCGTGAATGGTAGATGATTCAATCTTGGATCAAGTACCTCAGATCATACCAAGTATCCTTTCGAAAAAAAGGCTCGGGTATTCATTGACATCGCTAACGTCGCTTCTAGAACCACTGGCTTGTGGCTCAGCCCAACGGCGCTATTTTTATCTAACGCACCGTGCGCTTACCAGCTCATTCAAACTTTCAACTACCACCACTGCACCTCTTCAAGTACTCCGCGAGCAACGCTTCCAAATCCTTTAGAACCGACGAATAGACGCGATGACCCGCGGCAACCAGCGCGAGAAGGCTCGTGAGAAGAACATGGCAAAGCTGGCCGGTTCGGTAAGTGCTTTACCGCCCTCGTTATCAGCACCCTGGATTTCGCTCTTTCCCCCACACACTGCTCCAAACAACGAAAAAGCATTCAAACCCAAGACGTGAGGCTAACATCAAGATCACAGAAATCCAAGAACGCCGTAAGATGACCTCGTGAGACGTGGAAAGTTCGTATCCAGTGATGTTGAGTCTCGAGATGCAGTTGTCCGGCACCGAATTTGCCCGAGCAAAGGAGGATACAGCCGCCATCATGCGTGCCAAACAGGCTGCCGGTACGTCGATCCCGCAAGAATGCCCAAGGGGCCTCTTATCTACCGACGTGGCCCTACATGCAAGGCATAAAGCTCATGCACAGCGCGGATATGCTAAAACGTGGGATAGCCGATGCGAAGAAAGCCGGGGAGTCCTCTGGAGGGAAGAAGTGACGACGCTCAGCATGCGTTCCGATGCTGGGTGAGCTCAAATGAGAAATAGGGACATGCGATGAAGTTAGACGGGACATTAGGAGGTGCATTGGGAGTTTTTAGCGCTGGATGATGCTACGGCCGCCATTCCTTCTGTGCTTTGGATACTCGCAGCAATGAAATCATGATTCGAAAGTGCTGTGATGTATTCCCAGTGCGCCAATCCTCATCTTTGTTCATCACGACCAGCACATTGAGCATTCCAAGATTGGTCAATTTCAAGATTCGATACCTCTCTCTGAGAGCTTCCATTCAAAATCTAATGCTTTAGTTTTACAGCACTGCACCACATGCCTTGCGCTCAACAACCATGGCGCAGTGGGGTGGATTACGGTATAATGCGAAACGCCGGTATAAAGAAGCAGCCAATAAAAGGTATCAAGGCGCTCTCCAGAAGCGT